TTTGGTATCACTTTTCACAACACCTAAGGTACATTGGATTATATTCACACTGATATTTTGGGTCCTTCCAAGAACACATCACTTGGTAGGGCCAACTATTTTGTCACTTTCATTGATGACTATTCCAGAAGGAATTGGGTATACCTTATGAAGCATAAACATGAGGTCCTGGATATTTTTGTGGAGTAGAAAAAGAAAGTGGAGCTGCAGACAGGTAGAAAGATGAAGACTCTACATTCAGATAACAGTGGAGAGTATAAGAGTGATCCGTTTCTACAGTTTTGTCGGGATCACGGCATTAGGCGAAACTTCACAGTTCGAGAGACACCGCAACAGAACGGGGTGGCTGATAGATTAAACTGTACCTTGCTGAAGAATGTGCGATGTATGATGATGCAGAGTGGATTGCCTAGATCCTTTTAGGCTGAGACGTTGGTTTATGAGAGCCATCTCGTGAATAGGTTGTCGTGCACTACGATACAGGAGAAGACTCCGTTAGAGCGTTGGTCTGGTTCGGTAGCTAGTGACTATGAGTCGCTTCGGATATTTAGGTGTCCTGCTTATTATCATGTTATTAATGGTAAATTGAATCCGAGAGCGAGGAAAGCAGTCTTTGTGGGATTTAGAGATGGAGTTAAAGGCTTTAAGTTATGAGATCCACAAGATAAGAAGATAATTATTAGCAGGGATGTCATATTTAACGAGGTGTACATGATGAAGCCTCAAGTTCCTCAGCAAGTAGAGGAAGACCAGATTCGGGAGATATCACAACAGGTGGAGGATGATGTAACTCCACTCACTCCAGAAAGTATTGTATCCATCGAGGCTCCTACAGGGTGGGAGGAGATGAGATGACAGCCGGGCAGATAGAGGATACAGTGGATTGTGAAACTCAGGAGCAGGGTCATGTTCAGGAGTATATTATAGCGAATAGACCTAGAAGGGTGATTCATCTTCCAGCTAGGTATCATGATGTCATGGTCGTATATGTATTATCAGCGGATGTCGTTGATGATATGGTTTCATCCACATTCAGGGAGGTAGAGTCTAGCCCCGATTTGATTAGGTGGAGGGAAGCTATGGAGGAGGAGATGCGATCTCTTCAGAAGAACAATACTTGGGAACTTGCAAAGCTACCTAAGGGTAAGAAAGCTAATGGTTGCAAGTAGGTATATACGAAGAATGAGGGATCTTCTATTGGGGACATTCGGTTCAAAACCAGATTGGTTGCTACTGGATATGCACAGCTTGAGGGCATTGATTACAACGATGTATTTTCACCCATTGTGAAGCATTCGTCGATTCAGATTTTATTGGCATTGGTAGCACAGCTGGATTTGGATTTGGTCCAGATGGATGTTAAGGCAACCTTTCTACATGGAGATTTAGAAGAGAAGATCTACATGACACAACCTATGGGGTTCAAAGCTGCAGGAAAGGAAGAATTAGTATGCAAGCTGAAGAAGTCTCTTTACGGATTGAAGCAATCGCCGCGACAATGGTACAATAGATTCGACGGCTTTATGATTGGCTAGGGGTACACGAGGAGCTCATATGACCCATGTGTTTACATGTACAAGCTACAGGATGGTGAGCACATATATTTTATTTGGGAGATTTTGTGCAGCTGTTCTTAGAGTTTTGTGCATCCTTTTGAGAGAGAGATTGTTTGAGGGTTTATGTTGAAAGATTGTAAACCCTAGTTGTATTCTCTCCCTCTAATAGTAGATCTCCCCCCTCCTTGTCCCGTGGACGTAGGCAACTTGACGAACCACGTAAAATAGTTTATCTTGCAGTGATTTGTAATAGCTTGTAGGTTCCCTCGACAAGTCAGTCCTAGAACTGATGAGAGGAAGAGTGTATAGTGATTTGTAATAGCTTGTAGGTTCCCTCGACAAGTCAGTCCTAGAACTGATGAGAGGAAGAGTGTATATCCCACTTTTCCCTCGACAAGTCAGTCCTAGAACTGATGAGAGGAAGAGTGTATATCCCACTTTGTTGAGATATATTATTTTTGCTTCTTGTTTTCTTTGTGAAACAGGGATTTAGTTGAGATCTACTCTCTTGTTGTGCACCAGAGGTGCTGCCAAAATTTTTGCTGCGCACAACAAGAGCGTAGTAGGGGATGTAGATTTTCCTATGTGCTTTTTATCTCTTCCTAAGCTCTTCGTTATATAGACCTTTGGGAAATTTTCTCTAACTTTACAAAGTCACGAGTCACAAAGTTTCCCATTAAACGCTAAACTGAATAGCATTTGATTTGAGAAATCTACTAAACTTCCTGTAGACAATTCCTTGCTTCAACAACTCAATTCTGGGTTTTGAATCTATATGTCCTTATATTACAAAACTTTGTTCAAACACAACACGAAGTTTAGACAGGAGGTTCTTCAACTACTTCGCTTCAAAACCGTTGATGTCTAAATCTATAAGCTCAGCCTCTATTGTTTCTTACTAGGATTACTAGTGTATTTGCTTATTGTTCGTACTGAATATGTATATCGGGTTTGGCTTTGTTGGACAAATTTAAGAAGAGTTCCGATAAATCGAGAGTATCTATACTGGGACGCATGTTCACCTTCATTCTCTTCAGGGAAATGAAGAGTTAATAAAGTATACTAAAAAGATGGCCTTCGAGCAAGTCAAATTTATGAAGCGTCTTTTCTGCATTATGGGATAGACTTAGAGAAATACATCCAGAGTATCTAGATATTTTCATTACAAGAATCATAGCAAGTTGTCCAAGACCTTTCATGCCATTTCTCACAAGATTCAATATTCATAACAGAAAGAGGAAAAACATTGCATTATGAGAAGACTTTATTACATTCAACTGGAAAACAACCATTTCTGGAAAGGGCATGACTCTTCACAACGTCTTGTGTGTATCTTCATTTTGAAGGGGTTTGATCAGTGGATCCATTCTGAAGAACTGTTGGGTTTTTTAATGACTTAAATTGAAAAAGATTTAGTTTCTTAAATCTTACCACTATCTTATCTTTTCTCATGTTTATTGTTTATCCATATTAAAATTTCAATTGTAACAATCTCTATATTTCTTGTATTTTTTATAAATGCGAACAGAGAAAATTACTTGAGAATCATGGGAGAAAAATCACGGGGAGAAAAATCATGGGGTATTGCAGAGGTAAAATGGGTTTTTTTTTTTTTTTTTTTTTTTTTGTTTTTTTTTTTTGTGCAATGCCTCTCTTCAAGTGCTGCTCTTAAAGATAAGAGCCCTCAGATGACCTACCCTTGAGGATGCGGTGACTCTTAAGTCTTTTCTCAGTTGATGTAGCACGAAGTATTAACTTAAGGAGTGTTGCTACGGGGACCCAAAATATGGGACCAATGGAGGGAACAGGTGAGGTGTCCCCTCTTTATTGCATAATGAGTTGGCATAACCAACTCATTATGCAATAAGGAGGGGACACCTCACCTGTCCCCTCCATTGATTCCATATTTTGGGTCCTTAAGTCATTTTCCTAACTTAAGAACAAGAGAAACTTGCAAGCAATAACATCGGGAGATCTTATTAAAAACACCGTAACTATATTATGATGAGTTAATGCTTGCATACCATAACATGGGTTCACAAATCCATGTTGCTACACTATTTGTGGTTAGTATTACTCGTTTAGAACATGATTTTTAAACCCATAAAAGCTATAAAAACACAATAATTCAGGCCACATAAAATAATGTTATAAAAGCTGTAAAATATCGTTATAAAACATAAAGCAGATATATTCAGAGGTTCTTGTTCCTGTTAATAAGACTGAGATTATATTGATTTCCACTGCTACGCATCCAAGCAAGTGATCAGTGGCCAGATACGGTGCAAAAAATAATATTTTCATGTAATATGCAAAAAAAAAAAGCCGATAATCCTTCAAAACATGGGAGTCACCCAATTTACTGATCAAATAACAGAAATATTTGATGCTCCAAACCGATGCGAAAGAGGAATAGAATGAACAGGCGTTTAAATCAACCAGACAGAGAGTACGGAGATATTATGTTGCAGACAAATAATCACCAAATAATCAACTGTTGCAGGATATTATTCTCATCAGCCTTCAGACTACAAGAGCTCAGGCAAGTAAATACACAGGAATATGAACGAACAGTCGTTATACAAGAACTAAGAACAAAAGAAACTTCTCCACGCAGAATTACTTCACCAACCCTTTTAAGAACTTCCCAAATCATAACATGCAAATGGGAAGAAAAAGCTAATAAATTAAATTGCATCACCATCATGTGACTTTTCTCCTCCCCACCTTAAACCATATGCTTCTAATTCGTAATAGGATGGTGCCACATGAACTTGCATTCCACAAGTCCTGTGCAAAATGAAGATAACAAACAAACAAGAACCCGGAATCCACAGGTAGAAATGGATAGTGACAGACATTCCTTTAAATGAATATCAAATTTACGAATTAAGGTTCAACATATTGAAGAAGAATAACCCCACCCTACTAAACTACATGGGAATATTTACCTCAAAAGAGTCATGGCGATAACTGAGAGGAAGCAAAGGTGCCAGCATGTGAAGGGGAAAAAATTTGTCAAACTCACTTCATATAACTCTCTATCAAAAGAACATGCTACATGCCGCCATGACTAGGGAAAAAAAAAATTGACTGCCTCGATAAATTGAGGATCAGCAAGCAACATTATCAGAAAGATATCTTACACAGAGAAGTAACTTGCACTGTGTCTCTTCTAACAATTAAGTTTCAGCCTCAAAAATGCAGAACCCAATAGAACATGTTGCGATGACGTCAGCCCAAGATTCTCACTGTAATCTAGGAGAGACAAAGGGAAAAAAGAAAGTTACAAGCTAATACTTAGGTCCTGACTGATTAATGAAGATTCTCGGTTAAAATCTATGAGTGAAGGAATGATGCACAAATTAAAAGTTAACAGCGATTGATTAATGGCATGCATATGTTTGTCCGAAACATCAAAAAAGTTTTAAGACATTGAGCAGCTTTCTTACTTACCAGGAACTTTTTGAAACACAGAACGCCACTGAGAATTACACACATCAAAATTACAGGTTAAACACCAGTCCAACAGCAACACAAGAGACTGCAAAATAAAAAAATTTACTGAGAAGTATCATCCTCAACTCCTGACAAAATGTACCGTAGAATGATGAATTATCATAAAAGATCATTCTCCTGATACAATTCTCAGCATACTATCAGCCACAGTTTAAGCATCAAACAAAGGTTTCCCTTGACTAAATGATCGGAGGCGTTCAACGAGATGCTCTTTCAGTGATTCTGGGATTTGGGAGATAAAATTCTTCTTGGCATCAATTATCAGTTGTCTCCTGCAATTCATCGATGCATGTTTGCATGGCAAAGCAAAAAATACATTAGCCTATGCATCATTATCAGAGATTTTCTTTCGGGCAAATAAGCAAAAGGTAAAAGATAAAAGAATCGTAACATGCACACGTAAGAAATTATGTATATCCCAAGAATACAAAAACTGACCTTTAGTATCAACTTGGAATCAGTAACACATGGTCAGAATGGAAGAACATATCAAAGCATTGTACAGGCTGGCAATATAAAAAGGAGTGGATATCACAATAAAAAGGTCCAGTGCCACTGCCATGAAATAGATGAGGAATTCACAATTCTTCACTATTTTGGACATTGACCTCATGTCATCCATAATGAGTTGAGCAATTGTATCCAACCAAGGGTTGAAAGAAGCGAATAATGATCACAAGAGAGAGAGGGAGAGAGAGGAGAGAGGGGAGGCAGGGATGATAGAGTAACATGCTTAAGGGAGGAAACAGAAAAGGGAAGTCAAAAGATAGAAAATATAGTCATTCATTATTTCCACATTTAAATAGTTGGAAGAACATATATGCATGAGTAACAAAGAGAAAAAATAAATGTAACAATGCAACTACCTTTGAAGTTTGATTATAATCAAATGACTGGAGAAGTGAAATTAAAAGAAATAGTTGGCATGTAAACATTACGTCTATCATAAAAAAATAAAAAAAATGCTAAAATAACAGCTTTTTGGTGAAACGTTAAAACCCAAAATGCACAGATTATTATTATTATTATTGCATATAAAGACACAATAAACACAACCACCATCGTCCTCAGGGAGCGTAATCCAGAGAAAACAATGCTTAAAAACTTTATCCTCTTGTCTAGATAATACACACACATTTCATCAGGTGAGCGCCAGTGTACATAGTGGAAGATGTAAGAATTTGAACCTTGTCGGGTCAGCTCAAGCTACTTCCCACAATAGACATACACAATCAACCAAATGAAGCAATTGCATGACAGACATGGAACCCCAAACCAAGAAGTCCCTTTCTTTGCTTAACAAACAAAAAACCAAAAACCATTGACATGGTCCCATGGATATACGACGGAATAAGCATATGCTGAAATGAAAATTCTTGAAAATCCTAATACACAGGTACAACATTGTGACACTGACAATATCTATGTACCATTTTGTGTTGGCCCTGTGTACGCATGCACACATACACACATAACCAAGTTCAAACAGTTCTTATATTCCTTTCGTCCTTCAATGGAAAAACCCAATGTATATTAAAATCTTGTGTTTGGACATAGTACAGACTGTTATTCTGATATTTTCTTATACCTTCAGACTTGATATTTCACTGGTATATGGTGCAAATAGATTTGTTGGCGGCTACACATGAGTGGACAGTTGTCTAACCCTTGAAAATATGATTCTATACATTAATCAAGCTACATGTGTTTTTCTGTAAGATAACAATATCAGCCTATGTTACCTGGTTACTTCTATCTAGTAGCCGTACCCATACCCAAACTCCTTGGACATTCCTTGCATATATGCGTACATTTATTTGGTCATATATTCAATTACACAATACATGTTTTAATTTAGAACACCTGTCAAACATTTCATGGACATAATCTCATCCACTTCTTGAAACTCGTTGTGTTTCAACTATGATTTTAATGGTCGTTTTGGCATCTAGTTCAAAATTCGAGAGTTTTTACAGTTTATAATCCACGTAATAAAAGAAACATAAAAAAATGTTATGGGAATTTAATCCTATAACACGTGTAAAAAAATTATTGCTCTCATGTAAGCTATTAATTTCAATCTATAATATATGTGTAGATAAATATTTATACAGCCCTGCCCCCGCACCCCACCTTTGCAAATTTGTTGTGTCCAGTACCCGTACCCATACCCATGCAACATAGATATCAGTTAGTTTTTTTATAGACATGCTCAGAAATTCACAAGCATGGAAATTAAAAGATTACTACAAATTAAGAAGGCAAAACAGGAAGGGAACTTGAAACAATGCATGTGCAAACACAATCAGAAGAACACATCTTAGATATTTTCACGATTCAACATATAATTTTCTGTCATATGCACGATGGTGAGTATTTCAAGCTGAATATTGTGTATCACCAACTGACGTGGTACACAAACACCTGCTTTGGTAGACAGTTTGCAATAAAAGGACAAAGAATTTGAAAAGGGGGGATCAGGAACATGGAGCAGTCACACTGAAGACAATAGCTAACGAACCACAAAGGCAGGATTGCCTCTCATCCCACCTATATAAAATGGTATACACACAAATACATGCGCAGATTTATGCATTTGCAAGCCTAAGCCATTTCTACGTTTGTAAATTTCTCTTATCAAGCAAGGATCCTGTTTTTGATCTAGGATTTCAGAAAATACCTTATGACAGCATGTTCACTACTAACTTCCTATATTTCAACTGTAATAGTGGTTTCATCTATCCTGACTAAGCTCCGTGAATTTGCTAAAATTCAAATACCTAGTGAACATATTGAAACAAGGAACAGAGTGCTGTGTACTATCTACTTCAGCCCGGCCGGTGGTATTCCTTATTCTAAATAATCAAAACTACAATAACAACATCAAGATAGTTCAATTAACGTGGAAGTACAGTTCTCACCGTAACTCGGTGTTATCAGGACAACCGCCATTTACTTGTGAGCAAATCTTCTTTCTGGCGTGCATGAACTTATGCACTTCATCAACCCAACCACATGACCGCAAATCTGAAGATGCTTCTGCAGCAATTCTGAAACATGCATAACACAACGGTGTGAGAATGGGTATAGACTAAGCTGTAAGTAGGTGCAGTTATTATAATAAAAATAAACAGACATAAAATAGCATGTCAAAAGTAGTGCAACATTTTTTACATGAGAAGAAGAAACTAATATTTTCTCTTTACCAGGCCAAATATTGAGTCACGAGAAAAGGGACAAGTGCCCGATTGAATAGTAGTTTTAAAGAGTTTCCAAAAGGACAAAAGTAGGAGAGAAGGAGATGAAGAGGAAGGTAATCACCAGGTTGTTAAAAACTTAAAACAGCTAGAAGTTTTTATCCAAAACATGGATCATATGGGCACATGGTGATTTTTTTAAAGCATAAGGGAATGCTTTATAAGAGTAAAGGAAAAAAATCTCTTAATAAATCAAATTAGTGATAAAAAGCAGCAAAAGTCAATTGCCAAAATACCAACACAAAATTTCTACTCCAGGACAGTCTGAAGGAAAACAGCTCATGAAATTGATAACCAACCAGAGGCAAACAGATGCATTTTATAAAATGAAAGAAGATAAAAAGTGGTAATAAAGACACTTACAGTTTTTTAAAATTTTCAACATCTTCAGCACGGGTACTGTGACATTGGGCATGAGTCTTGCAGGAAGCATTAGGCTCTTTTGTGCCAACATCCAACCGTCCATTGCTTTCAGTGTCACAAGATTTTCTCTTAGGCGCTGTTGTAACAGAGTCATTCTTGGCAACCATGTCATTTGATGGACGGTCATAATCAATATTTTTATCTACACTGGCCAAAATTTTGGCATTATCCTCACCGGGGGCTATTTTGAACATATTACTATACCCATTCCCATTAGGTGTTTGCAACGTCTGCTTTTCCCCATTGCCAACCATATTAGAAGAAATCCCATCAACAATACCACTTTTAGATGATGATGAAAAGTCAGACATATTCCCAACCTTCAGTTTTTCCGTGGAACCGTTATCGTGAGGCTTGTTCTTTTTAACAGCTGGAGTTAGTTTGTGGTCCCCATTTTTCTCCATAGATCCATTAGTATGAACCTTAGAGTTGCCATTTTCATTTGCAATTGCTTTCTTCAGCTCGTGGTTTTTAATATTAATGGACTTTATCTGTGGATTTGTAGATGTCTTACCGTTCTTCAAAATGGTTGACACATTATTCTTAGAAGATATACCATTTGATCCAAAAATTGATGGTTTTGAAAGCTCAGTGGTCTTATGCTGTGGTGATACCTCAATTCTGTCTGAAACGGCAGGTTTAGTTTTGCAAGGCGGACAACTTTTGCTAGACCTTGGGCTTTGATTATTGCGCAAATAGAAAAGAATATAGACCTTCTCTGACAAAACCTCCTGTGTGCTTGAGAGTGAAACATGAGCATCATTACAACAATACCAGCGGCCTACAGGATCCTATAATATATCAGAGCAAATTTGAATCAATAGATGTGCAAATATACATAAAAGGAAAATTATAGGCATTTGTGTACTTGTATGCAAAACAGATGAGCTCTTTTTCTCTAAAGAAAAGGAGGTAAACATAAACATAACAAACCTTGATATATGCATAGTAGTGTCCAGATTCAGGTGAGAATCCCGAGTGTACAATGCTTCCAAACAGATTATACTCTGGTTGCAAATCCTACAATGACATAGCATAATTGAATTAAAAAGAAATCTGTGAAATTGCTCCAAGAGAAGCATACAATCTTAATATATAAGCATATCTGAGTTTTTGGTCGGAGACCAGCAATTTTTTTCCAAGTATTGTTATTGTCGTTCTTTAGTAATGGCTGTGGGTGTCTGCGTGGGTGATGATACCAAAATTTTATGAGTAATCTAATTAATTTAAAGATATCGTAAAATAGAATAGCTGAGCAGACCAACTCCAAACTCCAGAATTAAGTGGCCATTTTCTCAAGAAAATAAAAGAATACTTTGACAGTACCAAAATGATAGCAGCAAAGGCAAAGATAAAGAAGAACAGCAAAGTTATGCAGCTAATGCCATACATTCGTTCTGAATATCTAATCAATACTCAGGTTCGACCAGTCTTATTTCTTGAAGCCAGGACCAGTAGGCAGTAGATCATGTAGAAAAACATTTGATCCTTGCAATAAGCAAGTAACTGCAAGGTAGTTTTAAAGATCTATGAAAGAAAGCCTTGCATAGTTTCCTCAGCAAAGGCCAGCATTACATAATGTTATGTTTGGACACCTTTCTTCCGGGTCTCAAGATTTTTTTCTATATTTATGTAGTAAATAGGATCGATTTCACAATTCCCCTGGCGGTTTTGCACCAAACACCCCCTAACTTTTATTGCTCCACCAAAAACCCCTGAACTCCCACTTAACCCACCCAAACACCGCCAACTCTACTGTGACACGTGCCAATCATGTGACTGAAGAAAACCAAAACATCCCTCGTGCCAAAAACAATCCCCATTTATCCTTTTAAAGAGTTTTTTACAAATAAACCCCTCACAAATAAACCCAAATCCCCCCCCCCCCCTCCCTCCTCTCCTCCTCTCTCTCCTCCCCCCACCCTCCTAACTTTCTCCAAAACAGCCACCAACAAAGGTTTGCCGGCCATTCCTGATGCGGGCCGTACCCTGCCTCCCCTCTCCCCCTTTCTTTCTCTATCTAATTGGGGTTAGGGCTAGGGTTTAATTAATGATCAATTAGATATCGGGTTAGTTCACTTTTGAGGGGCGAAGCAGTGAAGCAACATTAAGCTTTTTAGGCCTTAAGTGGTTCAAAGCGGAAAAGCCGCCAAGAAAAGAAGCGGCCCAAATCTTATTGAAATTTTAAATAAGCATAAAAATTTAAAAATACCTAATGAAGTTCAAACCCAAAGAAGAGCACTGAAGCAGTATATTGAAAGTACTTGAGAGGAGAAAATTAGATAAAAAAAAGATGAAAATTAGAAGTATACATGTTGTGTCGACGCTACTACTGCCAACACCGAGGGAGGTCTAGAAGAGTCGTCATCGCATGGAGAACTTGCTGGAGACAAAGGTGGTTTTGGACATTCTTAGGTTTTTTGGGTTCACGTGGAGATAGTTTTGCGTGAGGCGGGCCTGCCGAGGATGCTTTAGAGACGAGAGAGCTTCACTTGAATTTGCGGACAAGGTGGAGAAAAGGATTCTTCACTGGAGCAGAGAACTTGTTGAGGTTAGGGAGGTGGATGGAGGAGGTAGATGAGACTAGAGGCAGAAAATTTGAGTAGGGTTTTTTACGTTTATAACACGGAGGAGAGAATCGGGAAGCAAAGTAGAAAAAGATTTTAAGTCTTAAAAGCAGGTTGGGATCAGGTTGGGTATGAAAGGACCGCTCACCTGCTATTCGTTTTTTTCCTAAAAGCGGTTAATCTTAGTGAAAGAGTGACCACTTCCGCTTTAAAAAATGCTAGAGCTTTTTGCCACTTTTTTCAACATTAGTGCAGGTACATACTGGGAAAATGACATTACCATAATTCTACTGAAAGTTATCCATTACACCAAACTACGAGTAAATAGAAACTAGATATGTCTAACAATTCATTGGCGCGGTGACAGACAACAGCAACAATCACATGCTAGTTCTTAACTATACTATCACATGCTAGTTGCATGACAGACGGCAGCAACAATCATAGAACAAATGTGTAATCTAAAGGCATGGGAGAGAGGTCGTTAGTTATCACACCAACACTACCCTCATTAGCACATCCCTCCTTACATTTCTCAACTGAGCTGCCGCTTTTAATACCCAAGGACTATTTAGCCTACCTTTACATGTAAAGTTATGGCATTGAGAGTGTTTGGAGGGCTTATTTCTTAAAACTTATAAGTTATGCTAGCTTTTAGTGGCATTTGACTTTATGTAAAAGTTCTATAAAAATTGTATAATAGGAATAGGATAGTCATTTGATTGGTAAGACCTAACTTATTTAAAAGAACTTATAAGCTTGTTTCTCAAAAGTCGGGCAAACCCAACTTTTTAAAATGAGACTTTAAAGCTTTGCTTATTTGGAATGTTACCGAACACATAGACAAACAAAAGCTTAGAAACAATTTTGACCAAAAATTAAGCTCCCTTGGACATCCTCACTGCTAGCTCACAAAAGATTATTCTGCAAAGTGTTCTAGAATTTTTCATGTTTACAGGACCATTGTAGCAGGTAGACTGCAGTTTAACTACTAAATATATAACTATAGTTGCACTCCGTCATTGTTTAAAAGCCCACTAACAAAATGATATGTGTAAGTCATAATGCTTCCAAATCAGGACATCTAACTAGAATCTTGCAACCCTGTTACTTTAATCTCCTATCTTGCTCTGTGCCCAAAAATTACTTTCAATAATCATCAAAATTTGTTGACAAAGCCAGGCTAACATAATAGCCAGTTACATATTTCTTTAAAATAAAGAATGAATATAAAGTAAGCTAGCAACTAGACATGTATTAGTACCTAAATTAAGAACACATGAAGGTACATCTGTGGGACACCGACGTTACCATGATTCTCTTGTAAGTTATGCACTAATTAACAAATTACTACCAAATAAAAGAGGAAATCAAAGACAAAGAACGATATTGTTAGCCTACAAAGATAACCAACATCAAGGCAACTTCCCTAAAAAGCTACATTGTGCATGACACGTTAAGATCTTCCCTTAAGAGGTAAGAATCCTCATATTTACCGGTGTTCTTTCATGAATCCAAAACACAAGGTAAGAAGGAACACTATAAATGTACAAACTGCACAAAATTCCAAAAAGGATTTTGGTGCAGAATTCTCATGAGATATGGACAAGTAGAATTTTGGTGTTGGCCAAAAAGAAAACAGAAAGGAAGAGAAAAACAGAAAGGGGGAAAAAAGAGGACTTAGGCTTTTCTTTGTATTTTATCTCTGCTCTGGACTGTCTTATATAGAAAATCCAACTTCTTCTTAAAAGTTGTCCAACTGCTACGTGGAATAGATGAAACAATCTACTTCAAACTAACATGGAAATCCTACATGCGATAAACTAAGCTGGGAAAATGATTGTTTGGTAAATAAAGAACGCAAACTATTTCTAGGCCTAGTGGCCTACGAATTCACAATGCAGTAGGCTATGACGGTCCAACCGAGAAGGCTCAATAAATAGAGCACATTCATTTAGAAGGACATCCAATATAAAACAAGTGAAGAGGAGAAAATTATGGACAATGAAAATATTTTCTAAAATCATCAACATGAACCTATAAAAGATTTACCTTTTGATCTTTTAATTCTGATAGTGCCCAAAGGTGAATTTAGACGCTTAATTAAACTAGTGAAGTTGTCAAATTTAAAGGTAGTGGAAATGGAGACAAGGAATTCAATAGAAGAAAATTTTGGCAACTATACATTCTATGCAATAAATGCTAAGTAACCTATGTCTTTGAACATATACTTAAGTAATTTACCTCATCCTAAGGTCATTCTAGTGGATGTAAAGAATTAGGTTCCTTCAGCGCAAATCAACATGACACACAAAGAATGATTGATAATTTTAGGTTAAATAGGTTGGTGCACTAAAGGTCATGTTATCAAATAAATGGCTTAATGAGAGTTTTAGGTAGCCAGCACAGATCCTAGGCTTGCTTAAATCCAACAGATTCTATCTCTATTTGGCACGACACATAAGCTTCCAGTTACTAACTTCCTAAGCATAAGGGCACCCAACTTGTCATTAAAAAAATAAATTTATGGGGGTCAAGAAACATACCTGGCTTGTACTGTACATAAACTTAGAAAGCACTAAAACTTCTTCAAATTCAATATTTCTATTGATCTTCCCACCATGTATACCCTCAAATCTCTACACATAAGGAAATCCATTTAAGCACATAAATACTGCAACATATATTTCATGAAATAAAAGAATAGTAAGCTAGTTAAAATCACCTTGAGCTGGACGACAAGAACATTGGGAGCCCGAAGTATGAACATCTGCTTCTTAGCCACAGACAGTTTCTTGCACCTAAAACAACCAAAGAGTATTAATCAATCCAAAACAGGAAGTGCTATTGCCGATTGATTTTAAAAAAAAACGCTTTCTTACTTGCTGCAATTGTACTTATTGTTTCCATCCAAAACCTCAGGCTGAAAAAACCTCCCAAGTGCATCCTTCAACGAGTTCGACTGAAAAAGATCTAAACTAATATCCATAATCTCATCAGTCTTATTCGACTCCCCTTTACAAGACAAGCACTTCACTTGGCTGAGCAAAGCTCCCCCAAATATCTCCCTCATCACAGTACTCCTAGGATCCACCATTGTTGCTGCCATTGCTCTTCTTGACGAGCTTGAGGCAAGTGTTGTGGCAAGCATCAATGACATAGCGAAGGAACTCGTGCGCGTCCTCCTGCCGGCCCCACCGGAAGTGCTCGGCGAACAGGGTGATGCACTTCTGGATCTTGGCCGGCGAATCCACGACCAGAGACCCCTCCAGGGACAAGGATCTCGCGATCTGGCGCTCCAAGATGCAGAAGGGGCACTCCTTGTCCCGATTCGCGACCAGAGACTTGCCTGGCAAAAGAAAGGGGAGAAGAAAAAAAATCAACGAAGCCCTAGAATCAGCGATTAGGGTTTGGGAATCGGAACGGGGGGGGTGTGTGGGGGTAATACAATGGAAACGCCAACACACCGCTAGCTTGGGGGGGGGCGTACAGAGGAGGAGTGGCGTTTGGAAGTAGAGGCATGAGCTACGACAGGGTTTGCGGCGAAGAGAGCAGACTTGGGCCGAGGGGAGGTGGTGTAGGTTAAGCACTGGAGGACGCTGTTGAGGTAGCAGGTGTTGCCGAGGTTCTTGAGGCCGAGGGGAGGGCGGCGCCGCCCCTGATGCTGCTGCTGCTGCTGCCACGTCATCTGGAGGAGGATGGCCATCGGGGCTCGCCGACGGCGGTCCTTCTCCCTCTTCTCCTTCGACTCGGCTCGGACGACGAATCTGGTTCCGGTTCCGGTTCCTCCTCATCACCCGATGCATCCGTACTCGGCTATTGTTCGATTCGTCTTCGTCGACTTCGATCTCCTCTGTTGATTGGTTGATCGATCGACCGACCGATTGAGAGAGGGAGAGAGAGAGAGAGGGAGAGAGTGGAGTCGAGGGTAAAACTTCGAAGCGAAGCGAAGGAGGAGGAAGGGGGAAAGGGGGCGAAAAAAAAATCGAAAGGGAGCGAAACTGGAAATGGGTGAGCTATTTATTTATTATTTAATTATTATAATAATTGGAGTAATAAAAAGTTAATAAACAAAGAAAATCTGGAGATGTGTGCTCGGAGCCCCGAGGCTGCATGACTCGGTTTGTGGGGCCCACCCCCAGTGGGCCTCACAAATGGATCTCTCGTGACCAGGTCGGCTGATGAGTAGGCCGCAAACAGGAGCAGAGGCCAGAGCCAGATTGGGTCGGGATCTTTACAGCAATATATCTGCTCTACTGTGGCCTTTTCGGTTTCGTGCAGATGCTTAGGAGCTGTTTGTTTGTTGTTGGTAAAGTTGTATATTTATGACACAACTTTGAAAGTTGTCCACCTCATCATTTTTATTTTTACACTTTTCTTTGTTTGTTTTTGATTCCATTGGAATCATAAAACACTTGTTTGGTTTGCAAAATAAAACTTTAATTGTTTGTTTGGAAAGTGTAAAAAGTGGTCCCTACTCAAGTGATCATATTGGTTGAAATTACTTTTTCCTGACTTCAATATCAGCTTTCTCCTAAAATCATGTCTTTTTTTTATGAAATCACTTTACAAGCCACATCAGCATTTTTATTCCATTGGAATCATAAATTGCTTGTTTGGTTTGTAAATGTAACTTTAAGGGGCTGTTTGTTTGCAAAAATGGGAAGGGGAAAGCCTGCCAAATCTGACAAAAACTGTCAGTTTTGACAGGCTTTCTTGCAAAAACGCCTCTAAAAGAGGCGTTTTTGTAAGAAAGCCTGCCAAAACTGACAGTTTTTGTCAGATTTGGCAGCTTTCCTCTAACTTTCTCCTTCAAAAAAATTGAAACAAACGGGCCCTTACAAACAAACAATTGAAAGTGATGAAATCTGACATTGGGACCCACTTTTTTACACTTTCCATCATTTTACATGGTAAAAACATACAACCAAACGGGCCCTTATTGGTTGGGGCAAATTAGGGGCTATAAGTGGAAAATTTGTTCTGATAGAATAATTTTATTCTATTGGGATATTTTGAGTGGGGTAAATTAGGATAAGTGGGATATAATAGGATAATTTGAGTACTTAATTTGATAATTCATGTGGGATAATTGATGATGTGCCACCAGATTGGGTCGGAATCTTTACAGCGATAAATCTGCTCTACCGTTGGCTTTTCGGTTCCTATAGGCTATTGTTTGCTGACAAATTTTATTTTCTTTTTAGCTCCCTTAACTTTTTAACATTATGAATCTAGTCCCTTACCTTAGATCATTAAATTGCTAGTAAATCCCCCCCCCCCCCCCCCCCCCACGTTCTTCACATCTTTCGCTACGCTATGTCAACGGGATAAGGGAGTTAATCCAAAACAACTTATAAAAAGTTTGGGGACCTAACAGCAATCTACCCATGCGAGGGATTAGTTTTAAAATAATAAAGAGGGCTAATATGAAAATCCCCTTATCTTTTTCCTTTTCTTTTTTTCCTCCTAGCTTCCAAGTGCTGCCTACTCAATTATTATAGATTAAAAGGGATATCATTAAACATCAACATACACCAATTTAAGAAGACAGACCTTAATAACATGAACAACCTGACGTTGTTGTGCTTTAGGTTCGAAGCATGGAGTCACCAACAGATAATAATATGTTCAAATGAGATTGGATATGATTAAACATTTAATTAACCAAAAATCCAGGAGGGAAAAAAAGTCAATATTAGATAACCAAAAAAAAAAACAAAAACAAAAAACAAAAAGGATGGAGACTTCAAAGAAGTTTTGTAACGTTTTGTATTCACAGTACACGGTTCTTGCAGCTATGCAGGACAGAAGATGGTAAAATTTATACTCAGAAGAGAAGAAAACTGTACACTTGTTTTAGGGATTGAACGCAAAACCTGTAACAAAACAAAAAGAAAGTATACAATTTGTCGAATTCGACACTTAGAATTGCTGAAGAGGTATCCCCAAACTCTGTTGTTAGTGCTGTACAATCCCTCGTAAAACGTGAATCTTTGCAGAAAGATCAATCCGAAAGTTTCTTCCAGGAATCAGACACTGCAAAACAGTCGGTGGAGAATACAATCAAATTTTGAAAGTATTGAATTCTTTAGACAGGTTATAAAACAAGTATAACCATGGCATAGAAGTGAAATTTACTTTTGTAAAACTTTTACTCTCTCTCCCAAGTTCGATCTAGAGCCGACTTTTCTCCTTTTAGACCTGGCAGTCATGCGTTCATCTTCAACGAGGGCTTTCTCCTTGAGAGGATAGCACACCAAGAGACCCACAAGGGCTACATTGCCAAAGTATGAAATTATAAGTATGATGATGTGCAGATATAAACGCTTGATAATATAAAGTAAGAGCTGACAAAGAGCACTATTGTCCTTTTTGTTTCTCCATGTTTCATAATTTACAGAACTTTAGTGTGCAAATCTTACAAGAAAACAAACTGCACCTTTTTCTTCAAAAAACTTTGCTCAATGGTACATGTACAGAAACTAATGCAACCAGATTTACCCAAAAACCATTCCAAACAAAAAAAATGCTTATTGTTCTTTCTGTTTCTCAATGTTTCATAACTTATGGAAATTTAATGTTAGCAGGTGGTGCCTTGTGTAGTAGTTGGATGGAGATAGGGTTTCAAATCCTTCAAGAACATTCTTCGGTACTACATGGCCAACAATAAATGCAACCAAATTTACCTAAAATCACTACCTTCAAAAATAGAAGGGTTAACTGCGACCCCCCTTGTACCATATATCAGGTTGTAGCCACACTTATACCTTTCGTACTATTTTATTAGCACGTAATTCTTAAATGTCCCCTTAAACTCAATATAGGATTTATTTTTTAAGTTGAAATGTCATGCACACAATCGCGTATTGATAAATTAACTTTTGCCCTCAATTTAATGGGATTTTTTTTAATCGAGTCTAAATTGAGGGCAAAAGGTAACATCCATTTGAGCTTCAGGAGTCGTCAGTAATAAAAAAGTTTAGCGGGTATAAGTTGCGACACCATGTATACACAGAGAGTGTATCTGCAATTAACCCAAAATTAACTAAACCACAAGTCTGTCTACAAGCTCTGGAATGGGTACTGAAAAGCCGAAACAACCGACTGTAAAGGAACATCTCAAAGCTGAAGAGAAAGTTGAATGCCAAGTTTCAAATAATAATAGAGAAACCCAAATGCGCATATTATATCTGAAATTAAGGAGACTCCCCTCTGTCATTCTAGTGAGAAAAAAGAGAATGTAAAAGTTGAACTACAAGTTATAGATATCTCACCTATGAGGTAACCGCTAGTGCTTGTCAGTGTAAACCCCGTCTCTCCCAAAAGGAAAGGAAACAGAAAAACTACCACCAAATCCCTGAAAGATTTGGCCCGAGCAAATCTCTGTGCGCTTATGCGTGAGATCACGAGGCAAGTGTACAGGTTGAGTGCAAACATCAGGAGACAGTTGACGATTAAAATACACGGAACAGATAAACCCCAGGGCCGAAAGGGATCAATCATCGGCTTCTCCCAGAACATCCATGGAACAGGGAAGAAAGTTGAGCTGGAGCAATAAACGACAGATCTTGTTAAAAAAACACCTTTCTTAATGATTGAAGAATTTAGAGATGAAGGTGTACCTGAAAAAATCAATACCGAACATGGCAGAAATTGAGTTCAGCCAGGCCCCACCATGAACTCCTAAATACTGGGTAACAACTAGCCTCAGCGCTTCACAGATAACACTGCCCATCTGATAGCCCACTCCAGGCCAGCTAGAACTTACTTCCCCATAAGATGCCACTATTACTCCAAGGATGATGGTAGACAATAGCATTTTATATTGAGTTGCCCCATTCTCAAAAACATTTTCAAGTACAGCGACTGCTACGTGAACTGCATTAACCAATAGAACAACATTCAAGAATTCATCAGCTATTGACCTGTAATGTGGTACTTTAGATGGACTAGCTGATTTTTTTTAATGATGAAAAGACTCACAAAGTTGGGACTTACAAGCAATCTTAAGCACATGCATAAAAGCACCAGAGGTGTAGAGGTTTGCACTATTTCTCAGCCAAACACTCGAAGCAAGAGCTCCAGAAATGCAACGAATTAACAATCCAAATCTGAATAAGAATATTTTTTCTGTACATCAGTACAAAATATTTGAACAAAACTCAGATATCTGATACAATGAAAGAAAACTAGTCGACTAAGAGAAATCCGTACAAAACTGATCAAACTGGTATAAGAATTAGTAAACTCCTTTAAATTGCTTTTCTTATCTTTTAACATCTCTAAAAACAGATCCAACTATCCATACGTGTTTTTCCTGTAATTTATGAACGGAAGCATCCTACCTCATATTCCTCTCATCTAGGACAATATATAACATGTAATATTTTGATCAATAATGAAATAAAGTGAACCAATTAATTCAGCTTGCAAATAACATCGAATAGAACTCCATTAAGGACCATTTTGTTCGGGTGATTGTTCACTAGAAACTTCCATATAAAAATATCACTTTTGGCTCTCTTCTGCCCTTCATCATATCTCACTTCAAAGTGCAAATTTATCTCCATATAGCTTTGCTGCACATAAATAGGCAACATAAGATTTATTGCTTTCAAAAGATAAACAGGTTCTGTATGACAATTTATTTTCTGAAATAAAAAGAAGAGAGAAGTAGGAAAAAGCAAAACAGAAGGACAAGAAGGGAGACTCTATATGCAGATGATTGGCAGTTGGTGCTTACTTTCTATTTTGCTTTGTTTCCTTAAAATTCTTATTCCCAGGATGCTCAATTCCCCTGGCCTGAGGACAAAATAGATAGTAAAAGAGGCAAACAAAGTGAGAGCTCGAAGGAGATTTAGGAAGAATCAGTAATCACCAGTTGAAAGCTACTATAAGTGTTGTAATAATCCTGATGGAAGTCACTGGTGATCAAAATAAAACATACCTTCATGACCTTCAGAGTTATCAAACATAATGCAGAGGAGAAGGCCATTTGCAGGAAGCTCAATCCCACTGGATAGGGAAACTTGATTTGTTCAGATGACAACAGCAGCTGCAAGTATAAACCAGAAGCTAGTCATTGGCGATGTATGAACTATGAAGTTAAAAGGTGCTGCATTTCTTCCTTTGGAAGAGCATCCAACATGAGAAAAGAATAATTCAAGCACCAACCATAAGAAGTGATCTAAAAAGGGAGTTGAAAGGCAAAGGGCAAAACACTCGCAAATCCTAGCTTATTTAAGGTCATGACAAACATTTATGGCTTCTTTTTAAATATGAAGGATAGTCTTCTAACTGTTCTGGCAATAAAATTTCTGAAGTTTAATTAGAACAGTGATGATAAAGAATCAATCTGTAAAGCCCAAACAGCTTGCATAAACTGATGCCAGGAAAGCCTGTGGAGCTAAGGTATAACTGTGTAACTAAAGTGAGCATATGTAAACAACAAGAGGTTATCCATTTTTTCTCCAATCAAAATGACTGCAAATCTGGTGAGAAATATTGAACCTTGAAATTGGTAGAAAATGCAACAAGGATAATGATACTGAACAAATTAAGCGTTGTTAGAAGTCAAAAGTTCAAGAAAAACAAAAAATTAAAGAGATACGACGCAGACATGTTAAGGCTTACTGTTGAATTGACTTTAATAGTAACAAAGCCAAAAATAGTAGTTGTGTTGCTCAAGCTAATACATTTTCTTCAGGTGGAATAGGCAAGCCAAACTATTTCACCAATCATTATCATATCTATTTTATCTACTCATTTGTTTGTACTCATTCCATGTGAAAATTGAGAGGTTTTGATCAGTCTTTGATGTAGTATAAAAAGGGCATGATGAGGGGGTACTGGTGTATTTTGCCAGAGGATAAAGAGTTTCTAAGGAATTAAATGCTACAAATGATATCTTCTCTTTACTTCCTCTTTATTTTATCTTTCAGTGTATATGTGGTTTGGATGAGAGATCTTTGACTAGTGGATTATGTTGAGGAGAAATCGAGCCTCTATGTGTTTAATTTTAATAGGATGAGAACCATATTAACTGAAAATCTCAAACTATTAGGTATTGGTCCCGACTTTCTATTTTAAGATCAGTAACTTTTCTAGTTCTTTCAATACAAACCCCCTCTTGTGTGGCTCAAGTAACCACATGAACCATGGGTCCTCTGTTGACTTTGGTGTAAAACGTAAATCGACAATCTTGCAGCAACATGGCTACCAACATTCATTAGGATATTCAAGTATTTGTATGCTACTAGATCTTTAGACCTTGGTTTAATTTTGAGCATCATTTATGGATTGATCTTTAGCCTAAACCATCAGCCATGGATAGAGAATCATGAATGGTTACCTACATCCGTACAATCCATCGCTGTTCATGGGCATACCCTGCTTCTTTTGCAAAACTGATATCATATCAACTACATTAAACAAAAGAAATAACCGCAATAGTAATTATCTCTTTCAAATGCTATTTTTGTAAAACAATTGCAAGACTAATGTATCTCTGTTAAACACGCTCTTAGGTTAAACTACCGAAAAAAAACCCCCAAAACTTTGGGTGACTTCCCTCGACAAACTTTGTTTTCCCATAAACCCCCCCTAACTTTTCCCGTGAAACCCCTGTTGTGCGCAGCGGAAATTTCGGCAGAGTTTCTGGTGCACAATAAGAGAGAAAGATCGATAAGAATTCTTGTTTCTCAAAGGGAACAAGAATCTGAAAGCCTAATATCCCATCAAAGTGGGATATTTGCTCTTCCTCTCGTCAGCTCTAGGACTGCGCGTCGAGGGATCCTAAAACTATTACAATGGCCACAAACTCAAACAATCAATTTTACGTGGTTCGGCAAACTGCCTACGTCCACGGGGCAAGGAGGAGGATCTACTATTAGAGAGAAAATACAATAGGTTTACAATCTCACAAAATAAACCCTCAAACTAACTCTCTAATCTCTCACAAAAACTCTCTCGAAAGGATGCACAAAACCCAAAAATAGGCCTCTGCCTTTTCTTTTGCACAGCCGCACAGTCCTCTTCTATTTTTCTTGCTTTGTTTTTTTCTTCTGCCGAAAAAATCCACTAAGCCGAAAAATCTCTCCTTTACGATGTTTGCTTCTGATGATGGCTGCTTTCCTTTTCCCTTCTGCTTATTCTTTATCCATTCGTCGAGCTTTGGGCAGTCTTTCTTCCAATGACCAGTCTCCTTGCACCAAGCACACTGATCTTTTCCAATTCTAGACTGTGACTTCCAATTCTTTCGGTTTGGACCCTTCCCTCTTGCGACCAACGCCTCCGCTACCGGCTCAACCGAAGCCTCCTTATCCTTCTTTCGAAGCTGATAATTCACAAGTGCAGCAGTGACCTCACTATACGAAAGTGATGCCTTCCCATTAATCAGAGTAAGAACGAAGGTCTCATATTCCTCGTCGGGCAAGGAACTCAACAACAGCAACGCCTTGTCCTCATCTTCAATCTTGACATCCACATTCGCCAAATCCGCAAGAAGCTTTGTGTAGTGGTTCATGTGATCTCTAATGGAGGTTCCCTTCTTCAACTGGAAACGATAAAGTCTCCTCTTCAAATGCAAGCGATTTTCCACACTCTTGGTCAAATACTTGCTTTCGAGAATCTCCCAAATCTTCTTCGCAGAAGTCTCATTCATCACATCATATTTTAGATCTTGAGTCAAACAAGACCTAATCACACCACACGCCGTTCGATTCATCTTCTTCCAAACCTTCTCTTTAATCTCATCTGGCTTGCCATCTAACTCCAAGGTATCCTCCAAATTCTGCGCGTTCAGCGCATCCAAAACCTCGCATCTCCATAATCCAAAGTTGTTTGTGCCATTAAATTTTTCCACATCTATCTTCATAGAATGGATATTCAGACTTTGAATGGTCTTCGCGCCAGAAGCACCGCCCTCGACACCTGAAGCACCTTCTTTCCCCGACATCTTACGCACCAACGAACAAAGAATAGATCCAAAACTGAAAGATAGAGTCTTTACCAAAAGATCCCACCTTTATCACCAACGAAGTCCTAAACGGGCCTCCAAATTGATCTACTCCTCTAACCAAACCCTAGATCTGGAATCTGGGCTCTGATACCACTTGTTTTGCGCAGCGGAAATTTCGGCAGAGTTTCTGGTGCACAATAAGAGAGAAAGATCGATAAGAATTCTTGTTTCTCAAAGGGAACAAGAATCTGAAAGCCTAATATCCCATCAAAGTGGGATATTTGCTCTTCCTCTCGTCAGCTCTAGGACTGCGCGTCGAGGGATCCTAAAACTATTACAATGGCCACAAACTCAAACAATCAATTTTACGTGGTTCGGCAAACTGCCTACGTCCACGGGGCAAGGAGGAGGATCTACTATTAGAGAGAAAATACAATAGGTTTACAATCTCACAAAATAAACCCTCAAACTAACTCTCTAATCTCTCACAAAAACTCTCTCGAAAGGATGCACAAAACCCAAAAATAGGCCTCTGCCTTTTCTTTTGCACAGCCGCACAGTCCTCTTCTATTTTTCTTGCTTTGTTTTTTTCTTCTGCCGAAAAAATCCACTAAGCCGAAAAATCTCTCCTTGCACTGTAGCCGCAAAAGACACCAAGCCGAGAAAACTCCTTTGCACGTCCTCCTTCCGCACCCAATAACCCTAAGGGATTAATAGGTATATATAGGTGATCAATAGGTGATCAATCGGGTGGGCCTTGCTGCACTTCACGCGGAAACAAAATTCCCACAACCAATCACGTGGTCCCCCCCACGTGCTCACAACCCCCATAAAACTTTTCCCGCGAAATCCCCCCAACTCTTTTTGCCTTGCGCACAGAGCTTTCAAACCTTGTTTTTTTTCTTCTCTTGTTTAAAAAGAACTCAAAAGTTATGTAATCTCTACTGAATCTTGCTTCTAATATTAGGAAACCATGAATTTTTCAGCTTAATTTTCCAAGATGGTTCCCCCATCCAGACCTATTCAAAATGAAGTGATGTCTCTGTGGTTCGAGGCCCGTCGCACTATGACAACACAGTTCAAGACTGAAGATGTTAAAGTCAGGGAGCTTTGTGCGAAAAGTTAAGGGGGTTTAGTGGGGAAAACAAAGTTCAAGGTGCTTTCGCAAAATTTGCCGTTTTCTTGCAATCATGCAAAAGCTAGTTTGAGAAGAGTAGAGAAACAAAATATTCTGGATAACATAACAAGAAGCATCATGAGCTACCGCACAAGATAAAGAAGCATCAATTTCACCAGATAACAGACGAAATCAATTACATGATCTCTAACCTAGCTTTCCATCAAAACCATCGTCTAATTACCGCTAAAATCAAGAAAACACTCGGGAGAGAGAGAGAGAGAGAGAGAGAGAGAGAGAGAGAGAGAGAGGGTTTGCCTTGTTCAAGAAGATTGATGCGCTTGAGATCACGATGTAGATGAAGAGGTGGATGTAATCAGCGCCGTTCTCCTCTTCCCACCAAAACTTGAGTCGCTTCATCGTTCTCCTGAGATTCGCCATTGCTGAGCTCAGAGAGAGAGAGAGAGAGAGAGCGCTGAGAGTTTCTTGAGAATGATGAAAAGATTTGGGAGGCGGTTATAAAGAGGTCTGGAACTCCTGCGGATCTTCTACGGAGAGCGTCAGTTTGCGTCGCTGCGGTGCTAATTCGGACAAGATAAGCATAAAAAAATACCGTGCTCCGCAGGATTCGGATGCGCAAAGAGGCGGGATTGTGTTTGAGCTGCTGGTGGGCCCCGGGTTCTGATAAAGCTGATTTGGGGTGCTGTGGCAATTAAACGGTTTTTTACAGTTCGTTCTTTTCGGTTAGAGACTTTGCAGGATGCCGCTGGATCGATGTCGACCGTGCGTGATGTAAGAGTTGTGATGCAGAGCCAGAAACCATGCACACGCTTTTTTTTTTGGGCAAGATGTGTTTGGTCTAACTCTTCGCGTTTTGAAAAATGTCTCAGAATGCATGTTGGAAAAAATGAGGGCATGAAGAGATTGGAATTGGAATTGGTCCCCAGCTTTAATTAATGGTTTCGCGTTTTGAAGGCAATGGAGAGGATAGTTGTTATGTGTGTTGGGAATCTACGCCGAAAACCCTAAAACAACATAAACACAGTATAGAAAAAATACATCAAGATTTAACGAGGTTCGGCAACTGCCTACGTCCTCGGGAGCCACACAATTAATTTCTTATTAATCAACAAGAAATTACAAAGCTTAGAGCAGATCTCAAACTGAGAGCTCTCAATAAATACACATCAACACTGTAGCTACAGTGTTGATTCCCCTCAATAAATTCCTCATCAATAGATCCTCTCCTCAATAGACTCTCTTTCACTTAATTCTCTTCCCAATCACGTGAGCACAGGAGAAAATAGAGAGAGAGAGAGAGAGAGAGATCGCGAGAAAGAAGAGAGAGAGAGAGAAGCGTCGCTAGCAAAAACACGAGAGAGGAGAAGGGGAGCAACATTATCTCGTCAAGCTCAAGCTCGCCTGCAGCGCTCGAGCTCGAGCTCGCCTACAGCGATTCGACCTCGCCTGACGCGAGCTCGCCTGAAGCCGCTGATCTCGAGCTCGCCTGAAGGTCTTCACGACTTCGAGCTCGACTCGCCTGCAGCCCTGGTCGCCTGCAAGGTTGTCGTCCACGCTCGCCTGCATGGATCTTGAGCTCGCCGGAGTTGGGGTTTGGTCTTCACCCCTAATTCCAACAATGTGGCCATTTTCACTAATTAAAGGCTGACCGAACAAGTTTCGATCTATGGTTTCGAAAGTGCCCGTCGATGGGTTTCATGAAGCTCAATTGTGATGGGGCAGTCGACGCAAGATCGACGTGCATAAAGCTGGACATGGTGATGCCGTAGGAGATCACGAAGGCATTGTTATCTTTGAAGATGCATGGTTCCCCTAATCATCTATGCTTTATTTGGAAGGAATTTCTCCCAATTTCAATGCATAAAGTTATAATATTGGAGGACGTTCACTTTTTGAATTAATAAGAATTTGAATTATTTATCAAAAAAAAAAAAAAACACTGACACGTGCATCTAAATGCGTGACACGTGTCATTTCAAAAAATAGACATATTTCATTCCATCCTATCAGAAGATGACACGTAGACACGTCTTATCTTCATATACTTAATAATCATCATCAAATTAAAACTATTCATAATTAGAAAAGTCTAATAATCAAATATTTTGCAATCCTAATCAAGTTGTAGCTATTCATAATTAGGAAAAACTTATTGTCATATCCCTACTTTATACAAATTAGTGAACTATCTCAAAAACATGTCCTGTGTCAAGAAAACTGTCATGTGTCCATCTATCCTATCAGAAATTGACATGTTCACGCCTAATTTTATCCTCGGAATCCTAATCAAATCGAAGCTATCCTTATTTTAAAATTTTATTAACCAAAGCCATCCTTTATATGAAAATATAAAGTGTTTTTAAAGATTAGAAAATTATTAACTGCCCCCTTCAAAAATCTAAAAATTACAAACAACAATCTACAAATCCAAAAATTACAAACTACTCCCTAAGATCCAAAAATTAGAAAAAACTCCTGGTAAATCTAAAATTTCAAATAGGCCTTAAAAAATAAAAATTTGCAAGCAGACCCTTAGAACTCAATAATTACAAATAAATCCCTAAAAATATGAAAATTATAAAAATCAACGTAAATTTCATAAAATTATAAACTGCCCCAATCTATAAAATTAGAACTAATCTCTGAAAATATAAAATTTACAGAAAGTCCTTTAAAGTTTAAAAATTATAAATAGCTCCATGAAAATTTATAAACAACCCTTGAAAAATTTATAACTAGCCCCTTGAAAGCTTAGAAAATTATAAATATCCCCTTTAAAATTTTACAATTAGCCCTTTAAAAATCTCACAACTAACCCCATGAAAGTTACGAAAATAACAATTGCCCTATTGAAAATTTTGAAATATTATGAACAACTCCCTAAACAATTTTACAAGTCACCCTTGAAAGTTTCAAATATTACAAATACTGTATAAAAAAAATTAAAAACTACAAATAGCCCCATAAAAAATGCAAACAACCCCTTAAGATTAAAAAATTATACGTAAACTTCTGAGAAATCTGAGAGTTATAAATAGCACCAAAAAATTAGGAAAATAATAAATCCCCCCTTTAAAATCTATAAATTACAAACAATCCCTATAAAATCTAAAAATTATGAATGATTCTCTAAAATGTTCAAAACTTATAAATAGCATTCCAAAGTTTTACCAGCAAACCCCAAAAAAATTTTACAGCCAGTCCCTTGATAGTTTTAATAATTTTAAATATCCGCTTAAAAGGTTTATAAACAGCCATATGAAAATTTTACAACTAGCCTCATGAAAGTAGCTAAAGTAAGAAATATTATGCTAAAAATTTTAAAATATTACAAACAGAACCTAAATTTTTTTACACACAACCCATGAAAGTTCTCAAAATTACAAACATTCTTGAAGAATTTACTAAAAACTTCTGTAAGTTTTGTAAATTACAAATAACTTCTCAAAAAATTTACAAAATAGCTCCCTGAAAACTTTACAACTGCCCCCTGAAAAGTTTTGAAAATTATAAATAACACTCAAAAACTTTACAAATAATATGTCAAAAAAATTCTAAAATTACAATCGGCCCCTTAATTTAACATATTGTAATATATTGTTGGTGTGGGGGAATGCATGAGGTAGGAGAGTATGATGATCATGGAAAGTCTTATATCATTAATACTAGGGTACGGTGAAACTTCCTCCTACCCATTGGGTATTAGGGGAAAGTCCTAAACTTATTACTGTCCTAGATGAACCTAAGATGAGCTTTGATTGAAATCTCATGACGTTGAAATTCAAGTCTTTTTTCAGTTTTTTTAAGAATTGTGAGTTTTTATTTAGATTTGTAAAGAAGATTGATAGAAAAGCTATCTAATTTTGAATTTCAAACTTAAAATTGTAATTTATCTTAAAAAACCTATCACTCAAATTATCTACTTTAACTGATAAAAGAAACTTTGTTCTCTCTTTCTCATAACACATAGCAAAAAGAGGTACTCATTGTCTCTGCCTTCATAAACATTTAATGTGTTAGTTAATTGATGATTTGCATATTATAGTCGACAAAGACATATAATCAATAATCTCTCTTCTTACACTAGGGTACTTAACGTATTCGAAGAGCATATAAACCAACATACATAAACCAAAGAAATCAAAGCAATCCGTGCGAGCACGGGATTAATGCTTGTGTAGTAATAAAGTTAAAACCTGCTGGTTGCATGTTTTTACAACTTAGCAAATTCTAGGAGCTTTAATATTTAATAACTAATAATTCTTTTTGTCACCATCTAGTCTTAATTCACTATCCTCCACATTTTGAAATTTTTTTTTGGTGTCTTTCAGTTTCAATTTTCTATAAATCATTCATTTTATTTTCTCTTTCTTAAAAATCTTATTTTTATGCTTTCTCTTTACCCAAGAATCTAATATACATACGTGAATAATGGTGCACACATGATTATCGTTTTGTTGGCTTAACCAAGATTTTTGTCACGTAGTTTTGATTCATCTGATTACTGTGCACACTTATATTTTATGTAAGTCCTCTTGTGGCTCACGGATCTTGTTTCCTTTTGCGCAAGTTGGGAGTCAATAAGAACATAATTTATACATAAAAAGAAAGCACTAAAGCATATTGATCAAAAGAGACGAGGCATAATTTCAAGTCCAAAGACTAAAAAAAAAAAAGATGTTATCATCTTACTATTTGTATTATAGCATGCGGTTTCCTCCCGAGTTAAGTGAGCTGATCATACTGGATTTTGTATTGGATTTGTGCTAGCATGTGATATAAAAGAAGACACAAATCTCAAAGATATCATTAATGTGTAGCACAAATCTCAAAGTATAATGAATGGATAAAAAGTTTGGTGGACAAGTGCTCCTATCCACTTAAGTTTATATCTTGAAATATGTAACCGATTCTCTTGAAAAAAAGAGCTTTACTATTCGAGATTAAGATTAAGAAAAGAACTAAATGTAATTGCATGCTTTATTGTCACATATATACATGGGCATAATGTATATCTTTTCCATATTTTTCTAGTAATTACATTGTTTATTTAGAAGGGAGTGACAGCGTGAGACTAATATTTTATTCTTTGAGAAACTTTTAAAAGAACACTTAGAAAATAATAATTATTGCAACATCTTTAAGAACCATTTGTTTATAAAAACCATTTAGACATTTTGCCTTGTTTTGGAAGTTTTTAAGAGAAATAATCATTTGAGATAGGTAAATGTCAGATAATTTTTTCATTGTTTTTAAGTTACACAGTGATTTTTCTTTTTATATTTAATTTTTACATCTTTAGACAAATCTCTAAATTCACTTTAAACTTTGTTAAAACTTATGAGCATATTACACAAAAATATGTTTATTTATGTACATAGTTATACACAAAAGGGATTCGTGTGCCGCCACACCCTTTATTAGACAAATTAAATCGCTTAATCCCCCCCCAACTCCCTCTTTCAAAACATAAAAATAAAAAACCAAAATACCCCTCTACACGTTGAAATACATAATAAAATTCCAATCCTTTTAGCAACGACAAAGAGAGAGAGAGAGAGAGAGAGAGAGAGAGGAATGACGTCTGTGGATGAGAAAGTAGCGTTGGAGATGCCATTCTCCATCCCCACCTCCAAAAACTGATCCAATTCCTCCTGTCCGTTTATTATATTACTTCCTTCACCTCCGCTACCCCTGCCTTCAGTTCGCGTGCTCACCCTGTCATCACTCGGGCTGAGGTGAGCTCCTCTCCCTGTCCTTTGGCTTCATTTCTGTTGGGTATTTTCCTGTTTGCAAGGATTTTGAGTTTGGAGGTGAATTTGATGAGTTTTGGATGGGAAACCTGGTGTTTTTCCATCTGGGTCTCTTTGGCACGCATTAAATTTTCAACATGCAGTAGTTATTTTGGGTTAGGATGTGATTTTTCTTATAATGATTTTTAAGGCTTCGGGTGAACTTTTCTCCATCTGGGTCTGTTCATTATGCAACTTTTTTTTAGTTCGGAGGTTAAATTTTGATGGATTCACTTGTCAAAAATTGACATTCGTGTTGCGATTACACCTAACCAAACATTTGTAAAAAGAGGGGGCTAATAAATTTCCTCTTTTAGCTCCTAGGTTGGGTTTTGGGAGGAGTTTGTGAAGAGAATCTGCAGAGATGGAGATCACCAATGTTTCGGAGTACGAGGAGATCGCGAAGAAGAAGCTGCCGAAGATGGTGTATGACTACTACGCATCAGGTGCAGAGGACCAGTGGAGCCTCAGGGAGAACAGAGAGGCTTTCTCAAGGATTCTGTAAGTTGGTTCTTATTGGCTACTTATTGATTATAGATTCACTGTTTTTTTTTTTTGGTTGAGAATTCTGAAGAATCGTTGGATTCATGTCTCTATTTTATGATTCTGTACCTTACGTACCAGAATCTACTGATGTGAGTGGCTTTATGCTGCGTGTGAGGATCTAAGGTTTCGGGGCTATGGCCCAGAACATGACCCAACTTTTTATTTGGTTGGCTTTAAAGGAGGACACTAAAGTTTTGGTCTTTTTTTCTGGTGGGTAGATGGTATATTTGTGGATATATTGGTACCCAGTTATGCTACAGTTATGCTCAACTTCCTTTTCATTAAAAATATGGAGGGA